ACATTTCTGTGGTATAGCAGATAACGTGTCATCAGTGTTTATCTAATGAATGAATAAAGTAATAACATAAAATTATTAAAAAAAAGAAAGACAAGGAATAAAGAATAATAAAACACGTTGCTGTACACTTTTAATTGACGACCATGCTTAGAAACACATTTTTCCTTCAATGTATTACCGTCATTTGCGGCAATGTGATAAGTAGAGTAAGCAGAGGACACAAAAGTAAACCCATACAAAAAAAGTCTATTGATCTATGCTTTTTAACAGTGCTAGAATAATGGGACACCCACATTCCCCATCCTTCAAATCTAGACTCTCACAGTTAACAGCAGTTTACAAAAATGAATTATCAATTATTTAATTAGTTACCTAAATGTAAACAAAACTTTAAAATGGTTAGAGGACAGCATACAAAATATTTGGGTGATCATGGGTTTGACAGTAAGTTTAGATGTAACACTCAAAGTATAATAAAAGAAAGAAAGGAAAACACCACGCCACAAAAAACCAAATTTTAAGCAACAGATTATTTAATAAGCTTTATTAAAATTAACAATGCTCTCTATAGTTATCTCTGGAAAATGTTAAGAAACCGAAAAGAACTTGTATCCAAACAGAAAACACATAAAACACAATAATAATGAAACAGTAGTTAAATTAAAAAGATTGGAACATCTCACCAGACATACAAATGGCAAATACATATATTAAAAGATCCTCAATTTTCTATACCATTGTGGAGTTGCCAGCAAGCCTATAACAACTCTTGCCAACTTTGTGCACAACACAATAAAACACTGCTGATCTGTGCCATCCTCATGATAACGGATAATGTTTGAGCCTATCATGTCATTAGGGAACTGCAAATTAAATATCACCACATACCTACTGAAATAGTAAAAATCAGAAACTCGGATAAAACCAACAACAACAACAACACAGAGTAACAAGAACTCTCATTCATAACTGGACTCAGTGCAAAATGGAATAAGCACTTTGCAAAACAAGTTGGCAGTTTTTTACAATCTTATTATAATGGGCAGCAACTTTGTTCCCAGGTATTGTCCAAATGAGCTGAAAACTTATGTCCACACAAAACTTGCACACAAATGTTTATAGCTGCTTTACACATAACTGCACAAAACTGGAAGTAATCATGATGTCCTTAAATAGGTGAAGGCATACATTGACATGATTGTGATACATTCATACCCACACTTAAAAACAAAACCCACTGCTGCAACTGAATTCTGATTCACAGTAGTAACCCTATGTTGGGTTTCCAAGGCAATTTATTAATCTGTACAAGAGGGCTTAACCATCCTTATTCCTCAGAATGGGTGGTGGATTCAAACTGCCAACCTTCTGGCTGGCAGCCAAACATGAAATGCACTAGGGTAGGAGGGTTCCTTTTAGAGAAATTATATCCTATTTCATTCTAAGTCTGTAACAACCTAGAAAAGGAAAAACTGAGAAAGTAAGGTTGCAAGGAGGGATGACTAGGGAGAACAAGGGACCTTTAGGGAAGTGTAACTACTCTATTACACTATAAAGGTAAACATGTGGCAGTATATATTTGCCAAACCCCACAAAACTATGGAATACACGGTGTTAATCCTAATTCTGTCTTTGTAAACTATTAATCTGGTTAATGATATATTAAGTTGGTCCATCAACTGTAACAAAATTATCAAACAAACTCAACAGTATACAAGGCGATGAGGATATGGGAATTCTGTACTATGTTAAATTTTTCTGTCAACTTAAGTTTGTTCAAAAAAAAATAAAGTTTAGTATCTTTTACAGTTGAAAAAGGAGAAAGATAAACACTAAATTTCTTATTTGATAAAACAGGTTGTACAAGTGTTTTCTGTAACTTTCTAGAGTGGTTTTTCCATTACAGCGCCCTCTGCAGGATGCTAGATCCTGATGATGCACTTAACAACATATCCCACTAACTGAATACTTTTAAAGTCAGAAAGGGATACTTCTAGGATGTTAAGTTTTATAATTTTATGTTCAATTACTTTTGACTATCTGTGTAAATGGAAAAAATCTGAAGGGATGGATTGTAACTAAACAACCCAAATCATGGAGTGTAACATTCACTCATAATAACCCTCTAGTATAAAGTACACAGACACAGAATGTACATCACCTTTACAGAAACAGACTGTCACATCTTCCTCCAGCACCGTAATTAGTAGGTTCAACTGTCAGTTTTCTAGTTAGGAATAATGTGCTATAACCACTACACCAGAAAGTTTCTGTGGCCGTAATTAGCACTTAATTCATTACCAAGGATACAAGTATTTTTCTCTTATCCTAAATGGAAAACGGTATAATTATCAACTGTTGATATGTGGCCTAGTCACTCAGCAGATGAACTTTCCATTGGATTTAATTACTTTCTTCCGGGTTTCAGTATCTCTTGACAGTATGTTAAGTCCTTTATATAGGTCAGGTTTGCTAATGCTTAAAAGAACAAGCATTTGACCTCAAAAATACTTGGCACAAGGTGTGGCCTAGTAGCAAGAAGCTGCACTGCAATCCCAGGAGTGAGCGGTTCGAATCCACCAGATGCTTGCTGGAGAAGGAGGCACAATCGACTCCTGTTCAGTCAGACCCGATTTGATGACACACACAAAAAAATAAAAAATAATTTAAAAAAAAAAACATAACAAAACTTGGCACACGGTGAAAAAGTTTTTCATGTTTTATTGGTAAGAAATTTGTGTTCATTAGTTGTAAGTGCTGAAAATACGTGGAGGTGCCACTTGAATGAAAATCATAAATTACAAGAACTGATGTAATTTATTAAAGGTTCTAAGAAAGACAAAAACCCAGAAAGCTTCATCCTACTGAACATAGGTTGTTCCCTAGCTCTCAAAGGCTTGGATACTGTTTATTTGGGATTTGTAAATTAAAGAACAAATAGCTATTTTAGCCATCTACAACTACTTATACATCTAATTTCTAAAAAGTTAAATTACCTCAAAAGCAAACATGAAAACAATAAAAAACAGATATATTAACGTTGCTCAATTTAAGAGATCAAAATATAAGGTGAACAACTGTGTACACATTCCGATGTTTTGAAAAACTTCAAATTTTTACTGTCAAGTGTCATGCGTTTCCAACACATAGAGACATAATGGTTGTTTTTTATATTCTCATTATATCTCACTGTCACCGAGTTGAAACCAATTCATAGTTGACCCTCTACTGGTTTTCAATATTGTATATTGCAAAGGATGAGACGGTTGATCTTTCTCCCATAAAGCCGCCAAGATAAGCAGTCTTTGGACTAACAGCATAACTCCCTACAGACCACACTATAAGGATATAAAATACATTCCAGTTTTGTCAAGGAGATTAGCATGCAAGACATGTTAATTATCTTCTGTATACCAATTATAGTTCTCAATTTACTTCCTAAGTCTTAATTTATAAATATAATTCCTAGAAGTTGGGTGATTCAGAATAAAACCATATTTTGTCTATCTCAACTATCTGAAAATTAACAACTTTTAAATTTTTCACCTGATGTATTATGAAGCTTTGAGAAATACTTGAAAACCTTTTATATAGAAGTCTTATACACTGTAATACACATAAAGAATTATTATTGATGGCAAAGTTTTGTTTACTGTTTCCTCATACTCAAAGTTGCTTTTTAGTTACTTTTTTTCTGTTTCTGTGATTTATTTATTCTTCTCCAAAATTCTACCAAATTTTCCTTAGGCTCCTCACTTCTCAGATACTCTCCCTATTGTTTCTCTTCACTTTCCAGCAACGCCTTACTTTTCTGTTTTTTATCCCAGGAAAGAGCAACAATGACTGAATGCCTAAATTGAAATCATGGCTTTCAAAAACCATTGCATAACCATGCTGGGTCTCAAGTTTCCTTATCTGTCAGTTGATGAAGTCAAGTTCTGCCCAAGTTAAGATAACCTGATCAAGTTAATGCCCCTAGATGGTAAAAATTTCAACAACTTTGGATCTCCTACTGCACAGATGACGTGGATAGCATAGGCTAGGACACGGTTCAGATCTGCTGTTTACAAGATTGCTCCGAGTTATATTTGACTTGACAGCATCTAACAACAAAAACAACTGTAATACACACACACACACACACACACACACACACACAAATAGTAAGGCTATTTGAACACACTACTCAAAGAGTAAAGCACATAGCCAAGAGAGAAATGCATCTGCATCTCATTTTTCAAAGTCTCTGTAAACCTTTTGGTGTAAACAAAAGAACGTTACATAACAGCAAACTATAAAGGAGAAAAATATGCTTAGTTATCTGACTCTCTTAAAACTTACAGAAAGGTTATAAAAAACATTAAATTTCTAAAAGAAAATTTCAAAAGCCTATCAAGTCTTTATTAAAGTTAATTCATACACTATATATTTAAGCATTATTTTTTATAGTCTCAAAAAGAAGTTGAAAAAAACAGCATGGAAAATAACTGTCATTATATTAACATTTACATGATTTTATAGTCTATTATCATTGACATGACAGTAAATTAATTCCATTTTTAAATCATACTATTACTAATATTTTTCAAGGACTAAGATATGACTAGTAATATAGTTTTGTTTAATCAGAGGGACAGGATTAGCAAAACAAGAATAACGTTACAAAATAGTGTGATAAATGAGTAAGACTTGCTATACACATGAATACGTTAGATTTGCATGTCCTTTGTTGATCTTCTGTACAACTAAATCTATCTAAAATGCAAAATGAAAGATTTATTAGGAATTCTTTTGCCCAGGAAAACTTCTAGACCAAACTTATATAGGTTAACCGAAATAAAGTGCCATAATTGATTCCACAATCTATCTAAAGCTTCCAAACTTACCTCTATTTTACGAAATGTTAATAAAGAAATTATAATCGGAAAATATCTATTTCAAAAGTTATTAAGAAGTAGCTAGAACAAATATCCCATCTGTAACATAAAAATACTACTTACCTCATGTGCTAACATTTTATAGAGTTCTTCTCTAGTTACAGAAATCCTTTCTCTGTCTGTACTGTCCACAACAACTATTACAAACTAAAATAATCACACAAAAAAAAATCATTAATGACTGTATAATGTTATTTCTCTTTTTTTTTTTGTATAATGTTATTTCTTAAAACTATCAAATGCTTACTTGATTTACAGGCTACGAATGTCAAAGACTTAGAATCTTTATAGTATTAGAAAAGCAGAGTGATAAAGTACATTTATAAACCTAAACATCTGACGTCAATCTTTAGTTTGCATTATACTAATTTTTAAAAAATGTGATGCTCTGGCCTAGTGGCAAGAAGCTGCACTGCAATCCCGGAGATATGTGGTTCGAATCCACCAGATGCTCTGCCAGAGAAGGAGGGGCAATCTCCTCCTGTACTAGTCAGATCTGAGTGGACGGTACAGACACACAAAAAATAATAATAATAAAAAAAATCTGATGCTCAAATTTTAACTTATATAGAACAGAGTTCAATTTTCTAAATTAATATTTCAAATATTAACAAGCTTATAATCATCTGGTTGAATTACTGTAAAAATACATTATAATCATAAATCCAAGTAATTTCTAGGAGATATTTATAAATATTAATTTCAAAACCTAAAAGGCACGTGTATAGGAATAAATTAATGTGATAGTAAAATAACTCAATTTTCAAAACTGAGTAAATTAAAAAGATCAAGTCTGTATTTAAACTTGTTTTCCTTATATGCATGAATGACCTGCAAGAACACCCTTTCCTGAAATGACAATGACTCGTATCAGAAGATGTGAAAATAAATATGCAAAGAACATGTATAGCCATCCTACTCCTTCACTTTTAACTTTATGCACCAAAAAACCCAAGGACAAAGAAAGTATCTATAGAGTTAATGAACTCATTTTATGATATCTGTTCAAGTTTATCCTTACTACCCACTTAAGCATGTGTTGTTTTTCAATCCCAGTAAAAGTACTTGACTAGGCCACTTCAAGTACTTCAACTTGGTTTGAAAGACTAGTTACGATATCATGTTAGTGAGGACGCTATCATCTCTGCTTGTAAAATCTTGCTTTAGTTCTGTGTGTATTATGGCAAAGTGATTCCCCAGGAAAGCTTTTTTGTATGTGTGTGTCTATTGAACATGAAACATCTTGAACAAATTCAATTACTATTAACATAACATATGGGCAATGGTTCAGCAACTACCGACCCCAGGATGGTATAAGGTTTAAGGTGAGTACAGCTCACAACACCACAGCTCAGGTCACACCTGTTCCAGTGAAGAGTGGAAGGCTAAATGTCCTTGATCATGCCTATTTAATCTCCTTGGGAAATTAGCTCCAAATAAGTGATAACCTGAAACGCTATGGGAAGTAAAATAGCTAGATTAAGTAGGGAGATAATGTCACTCCTCTAAGTAGCAGGGTTTCTCTGTCCTCCTTCAGCTTGAAGAAGTTACAGAAGAGGCCTTCCCTTCCTCCCCAAGGGTGCGGACTGTAATTCTCTCAGGGGATTCAGATAAACTAGGTTCTGCTTTAAATTTTACAACACTGTGCCTATAATTGGTTGTTTTGTGGTAAGGAGTTGCACTACCAACCCAAAGGCAAATAGTTCAAATCCCTCACCAACTTCTTGACAGGAGAAATATGGGCATTTTCTTCCCATGCAATCTACAGGCTCTGAAAAATCCCCTGGATTATCAACTATGAGTTGTTTTCAACTCGACAGCTCATAACAACAGTTAAAGTAGCATGATTTTCAGGTTGGGTTTTTTTTTTTTCCAGATTCCATCAACAATAAGCTATGGATAAGAGAATCACTTTTCTAGTTCCTCTCTTATTTAATAGCTTACTGTTCTACACTGCTTTATAATCCAAATAAAAAAATTCTTTAATGAGTATTTGTGTTACATAAAAGAAAATGCACAATAAAATTTTGGCATGATTCAAATCACCAAAAAAATTCACTGCCATTGAGTCTGTTCCAATTCATAATGACCTTCCATGAGGTTTCCAAAGCTATAAATCATAACAAAGACACTGTCCCAGTGCTTTTCCTCGGAGTCACAAGTGGATTTGGACTGCTGGAGTTGTAGGGCCTTTGAGTTAGCAGTACAACTTGCTATGGACTAAGCCACCAGCACACTATCACTTAACAA